TCTATTAAGCATAAATATAGTAGGCGCCTTTGATATAATGTCATATTAATAGTTAATCTACAATCTAAGAAAGCGTAAGATCCCTCTTATAATCACTAAATAGGTAGTAAGCTTCCTATCAAACAGGGCTTCTACACTCTCTATAGGCAATAAGATGTCTGAGAGATTTAAGGTCTGTACAGGGATCCCTTAGGGCTCCCTAGTCTCGCCTATTCTATACCTCTTTTATAACGCGGATCTATTAGATATTGCTAATTGTCAAGGGACTAAGGCAAGCGCTTTTAGCTTTGTTAATAACATTAATATACTTACGTTTAGTTAAAGCACAAAGGAGAACTGCAGATGCCTAGAGCAGTTACATAATAAGTGCTTATACTAGGCCTACTGTTATAGTACTGTCTTCACGCTACAAAAGTACAAGCTGATTCACCTTATAAGAAATCTAAGGAAGTTTAATATAGAAGAAACAATTAACATAGCCGGCACCCTAATAATAACAAAAACGGATATTAGAGTACTAGGACTTCAGATTAACACTTAACTAAAATAGGGCCCTTATGTTAAAAAGGTGCTCTAAAAAATGACCTAACAGACGCTCGCGCTTACAGCTCTATCAACTTCTATATAGGGCGCTTCCCTTTTACACGTAAGACGCATTTATAACGCCGTTATTAAACTAGCAATGACTTACGCATTAGCTATTTGGCATCTTCCTAACGAGTTATAAGGCACAAAATCAAATACTGCTAAACTCTTGCCTATCTAGAATAGGTGCTTACGCGTAATAGCTAAGGCCTATAAGGCCACGCCTATCCTAGTCCTCAAAGCAGAGACTTACTCCTTGCCTCTTCTGCTGCTACTCGATAGTATCTAGATAGACTTTTATTATAGACTCATAGTTACAGGCATAAGGCAACTTATCCACAAAAGCTATCTCCGGATTATTAAGAAGCTCAACTCATAGCAGGGACGCCCCTATTACGCTACTGCAACACCGGGTGCTAGAAAGCATAGCTGGCATTATATATATAGTAAGAGGCAATAAGGGTAAAGAGGATACAGCAACTTAGCTCTAGCTGATTATAGCCGGTTACAGCTTTGTGTAGACTTGTTTTATAATACCCTTAGTATTTGTGAGGATTCTTGATAGCATTGTTTTTAGCGCGTCTAGTAGCATGTTATAGGCTGCTTGAAGTTTTGCGCTCCATTTTTCTAAGGTTGAGGTTTCCACCTCTCTTATGCTAATCCCTCCTTTTATTGTCTCTTCACTTCTACTTGTAACCAGTTATATCTCTTTGATGATGGCTAAGAGCAGATTCTTTAGTATTAAGGGTTTCTGTTAGTCAGGGGAGCGGAGCCCCTGCGCCCCCTGGCCTTATTAGAGTCTATACCTTCACTTCCACCCATACCGCGTCTACGTGTGCCGTGAGTAAGTGTAACTAAGTGTAGGTGACTGTAGTAGTTCATATCTTAACTAAGAATCAGGTTTATCTTCTTTTCCGACCAAAAATTCACTTATCCTAAGTTAAAGACCTTTAAGAAAA